TAGGGTGGGTCTCTGTCCCGCCTTTGTGTCCCCGGCTGCCGCTCCGGGACTGGGGTTGAACGCCTGCCGCGGCGCTTCCTTGCAGCACGGGGGGAGGTTATGAAGGTGTTTCAGTAATTCCTGTATAAATGTTCTCTTCGCGCTCTCCCTCCCGAACGTTGGAGTGGATGCGGTAAGAAAGAAGAGCTGTGAGGAAGGTTTGGTTTAAATAAACAGTATGGAAGGCGGCATTGCTTTCCTGTTCTTCGGAGAAAAGGGTTTTGAGTTTGGGGGTTTTGTTGGTTGGGTTTTTTTTCCTCTGCTTGACGGTATATTTGTTAGTGACTTCTGCTTGCAATCAGCAAGTTAATTACTTGGAGAGTGGTGTGTTACTGTATCAGAATATGCTGAGTAGTGCACATAAAAGCATAGAAACGTGTGATAATATTTATTTCTTGTTAAAGCGCCATGTTTTTTCAGTGGGACTTGAGTTCTTGAGCCCTTTTGACACTTAAAAATAGAAATAGTAACAGCTGTCCACTATCAGCAAATACACACAAATTCAGGACATGAGTTGTGCACTGTGTCCAAGTGGGTACATGCATTTATTTGTCCACATGAGCGGTGCCAACAGGGAGTGCACGTGGCAGGACAACCAAACCTGCACGAGGGAGGAATTGATAACTGACAGGTTAAGAAAGGTTAATGCACGAGTACATCGTCCAGAAAAAAATGGTAAAAGCCCTTGAAACAGAAAATACTTAATTTAAAACAATACTTCCTCAAATAGCCTCATGCGTAAGCTCAGATTCTAGTGAGGGTTATACTGAAACTGCAGTCTTGTACTCTTATTGAATATAATTAATACAGCAAATTAGAACTTCTCGCAAAACACCTTTGGTATATCACAATAAAATAAATTATAATTTGCTTGCATACGTCTTTGTGCCCAAAGTTTACAAAAGCTCAGTCAGAGTGGTTATAGCGGTTGAAAATTAAATTTTGTCTCATACTCCAGATAGGTTTGTATTTGTAAATAGCCTGTAGGTTAGCTCATGGCCTCTAACAGAGCTGGGGTATTTAATTTGAATTTCTTTAACATTCTAATGAAGTAATATCTCATTCCTGACAAGACCTACATGTATGCTTACATTTATGCATAGCTTTGTTGAAACCAATATAATATATAATGTATTAGTCAGTGGGACTGTCCATATGCATATTTCTTTATTAAAAAGATGAAATTGATAAATTATAAAAGACATAGTTGAAATATTTGAGTCCCATCAGCCTTGTCATTAATGAAATTTAACCAACTGTTGCCTAGCTCTTGCTGTATGGCTTGTTTTCTACATGTAACTGCCCATATGTGCAGTTTCTTGTTAGTATAATTACACTTTTGAAGAACACCTAAGAGCGAAGACCTACCACTAGCAGGTTGCTAAAAGGTGGGGGTTTTGTGTAAAAGAAGATAAAAAGAGCATTATGAAAGAAGACATGAGCATCTACAGTTAAGTTACAGAATCTGAAGTCTCTAATACGTGATTTGAAATTGTTTTGGTGGGGTTTTTTCCAAGCTCTTCCCACTCAAAGGCTCTCTTCAGCGGTGCTGTGCTGCTGTGTTCTGTAAGCTGTCCGTGACAAAGCTTGATGTCCACCATCCAGATCACCCTGTAAATGCTGTAGATTTCCCCTCCCTCCCCATTTTTCAGAGGAAAATGTGAGAAGGCAAAATGGAAGTGCCTCCCCTGGAGCAGAGCCAAGGCGGCTTTTGCTGATTTGGAAAACCCCCGTGTTGTCCCCATCTTCAGTGTCGGCAGAGGCGAGGGATGCCTGTCTAGTGCCTCATCTCAGCTTTGCTTCTGTCACTTCTGCTGTAGTGTGGACAAACCTTTGTTAGGTTTGAAGGAAGATCGTTAGCTGTTTCTGCCAGGAACCCCGTTGCTCCCAGCGTGACACTAATGAGGCAAGTGCCTTTGGAGATTCTGCTTCAGAACTCGGAAGTAAATACAAGTTTGGTAAAAACACAGGTGCGCTAGCATCGGTGAATTATCATAAATTACCTACATGAGCAGTGCTCAGAGTAAGCACCTGTAGTTACTTAAAATGAATATATAAACTTGTCATTTAAACAACCACAGATTCAAATTTAAATGATAGCAGTCAATCTACCGTGTATCTCCAAAGCTCTAGCGGTAAGCTTAAAGAGATGATAGTTCAAGAAGAGACGGGGGCTCATCGTTTCCACAAGAAATAAACTGCAGAGGATGTATTCGTTAACGTAGAAATAAATTTGGGAACCGGAGGCTGCAGAAATGTGTTTAGACCGGCAACAGCTGTGACTCCCGGCCCCAGCAGCGCCCATAATCAAGCTCCTGTGATCACTGGGTGCCGGAGCCATGCTTCCTTTGCGAAGAGAAGAAGAGCATCAGAAAGCAGCAGCCCGTGGTGGTTTTCCTGTTTCTCTCGACTTCCACTGCCGGACGAGGGGGTGAGAGATTCCCGGCCCTTCTCCGCGGCGGGTGCAGCCTCTCCTCACTGGGGGCCGGGGGCAGGCGCAGGCAGCCCCCCGCACGGGCGGCACGTGCAGGGTCTGCGATGGTCCTTTTGGTATATGCAAGCTCCTGGTTTATGTGCCCCAAGATACGTTCCTGTATTCTTGTGTACGTATGTCCATCTGGATTTTTGCTTTGTCCAGGTCACGGAACCCTACTGGTTCCCCAGATATTCAAGAGTTCACCGTGTGAGAGTTTTCTGCGCTGCAGAAACGTGTGAAATGTAACGGGAGGATCCACAGGTCGATTCAGGTGTTCTTGTGCCCCTTCAGTGGACGTGTCAGAAAACTCTCCTGAACACGTGTGAACAGGCAAACAAAGGCAAACACGCTGACATTTTGTTAATGGAAGGGATTGTTAAAATGTCAATGAAAATGTCACACTTAGATTCCCATTGTGACCACTTGAAGTAAATTCAGGGCCGTTTAATGGAGTTTTATTCTACTATTAAAGGCAAACACACACACACAACTGTTTAAACAACTTTTAAGACAATTCAGAGCAAATGTTGCTCATTGATGTGGCGGGGAGGAAAGATAAGGCAGTGTGTGTTTAAAGGTGTGTGCTCACTGCTCGTTTGGCGACTGGCTTTAAGGAGGACGGGATAAAACTGAACGGGATTTGTTTTGTTTAAATCTTTAAATGACAGCCGGGTGTCTTGGAGAATGAAATATTTGGCACCAGGGTACGTGCTGGGGCAATGCTCTGAGCATCCTGATGGTGTCCTTTCCCGTGTGTGTTAATGCAGGTAGGGAATAACAGCTCTAGCACAGGGTGAAACGTTCATTCCTGGTTTACAAATGTATGCCAGAACTACAAATAACACAAGTTATGCGAATACCTGTCTACTTGCTATGCAAATACCTGTCAATTTAAGAAATTGTCTGTGAACTTTGAACTAATTTGTTTTACAATGGACTTGCTTTACAAGGGGCTTTGGAGGAATTTGCTTTACAAATTCAAGCCTGAAAGGTTCTTGCAGAGCCACTGGTGGCTAATTACTTTTGATCATTCTTAATCCATACTATGTTTGAACAAGTAACTATGATATAATAGGATTGTAGTCCAGCAGAGTCCTGTATAACTTTTCAGATGAAATGTACATGGTTTTACTTAAAAATGCACAGAGAGACTGACTCAGGAGACTAATGATGGGTAATGTTTCACCTCTCAAACAGTAGTTTGTTGTGGAGGTGATGGTTATTACAAATGACCTTCTTTCCCTTTGTTCTGTCAACTGGCAGCAGTGCTGTATACCAGAGGCGATCCCTCTTGCTAGTCTACCTGTGCAGCTTTTTCTTTTTCTTTTTCTTTTTTTTTAAAGCTTTATTTCCCCTAACGTATATCCACTCCTTATTGCCATTGAATCTGTGTGCTAATTGTTTGTAAGGATGGAACCTTCTGTTGCTGTAGTCCAGACTGTAGGTTTCCATATGTATTTATGAAAACATTTTAAAAATCAAACTACTCTTTTGATAGGGCTGTCATGGAAAACGCCCAGCCCTCAGAATCCTTTAAATTTGATTCCCAAGGTCCCTTATTTTGAGTTAACAGCATGTCTCCTCTGTCTTTTCTTTAAAAGCTACTTGCACGACTTGAGGGCAGAAGTTCTCTGAAGAATCTTGAACCTTACCTGTTTGCTGAGGAAGGATCTCCTGTTCATGGTAAAAATGTATCTTTAACCCATTCATGGAAAAATGTTGATGTAAAAGTATTCTCAGAGCAATATGACAGAGATAAGCATACAAGGAGATCTTTTTGCCCTGGATCCAGGATTTTAATTGTCGATGTAGTTTTATGCAAATGAGATAAAATGAAATAATGCGAAGTCACCATTCTGAACATTATTAAATGGACTTTAAAATACCTATTTTATGGGTATCAAAACACAGGTGTAGGTGAGTGAATACCAAGCACGTTGGTCTGTTTCCAGTAGTTTGACAGAAATTCTAGATTCTGTCATTTAGCCTTTTTTAAATCAGTGGTCTACAAAACCACCACAGTCATAACTGCGGAAATTTGCAAAGAACTCAAGGCTCAATAAATAGCAAAGACTTCAGTGCTGTGGAGTGGTCTGGATCAGTTAGGAAAAGGGGCGTGAGCAAACAGTATTTTTCAATAAAGCCAAGCCATCGAGCCATTCGGTCTTGTCCTGAAAAATCCTGATCATACTTAGATGGAACTTTGGAAACAATTCCATTCTGAACATAGGTGCTAATCAGCTGAATGAGTTCATGGATGATGTTAGGATCAAAACGGCTTATGTAGACCTTCAGTGAATAAATGAGAATTTCAAATTGGAGGAATTGGGCTATGTCATGGTGATGCCGGTACAACAACTTTAAGGTAGATTCTTCTAGCAAGAAGTTTTAAGATCAAGATCGGATGTTTTAATGAAAGAAATTCCTGAGCTAAACAGAAATTAGCACATTTGGTAATTCCTTGATTATTCAGGAAGTCAGACTGGTTTTCCAGATTGTGTGAAATTTCATGGATATCCCAATGGAAGAGACAACTCTGATTACACAAAACTAGAAATATATCGTAAAAAAGGAGTATGAATGGCAAACTGTAAGGATCAGGCTGTGAGGTACTGCAGTTATCGAGTGTATGTATGAACGAATGGATTTCATATGAAAAGTACGTGGCTGCAGTGGTTATTGACATACTTCTCTGCAATCTGAATTCCCACAAATTATAGAAGGTTCAGAAGAAATAGCAGAAAAAGGAAAAAGCAATAAAAATAATCAAGATAATTGGATGAGAGATGATGCTTAGGCTACAAATGCGGTCACTGTGAGACTACTCGTGTATTATTTTGCAGGACTTGAGAATACATTAGGGGTTTAGTGATATACGATTCCCGCCCCTGAAAGTTTCAAATACGATATGACAAAGATAAAGGGCAGAGAAATACTGGTAAGCCAGTGCAAATGGAGCAGAGAAGATTATTTAAATACTCTCAGTTCTGAACTGCTTTGTTACCCGCAAGAAAAATTAAGAACTGGTCGTGAAATTGGTATATGCTTCACAAGGCTCCTGAAGCCTTACCGTTTTTTTCAAAAGATGAGATATTTTTGTTTTGAAAAAATGCAGTGGTAGAAAATGCTGATCTTTCAGTCTTTTTTTTTTAATGAACTTTATACACAAGAAACAAATGTTTGAGACTAAACTGGCCATGTTCTGGTAGAACAGACTATAAGAAGCCTTCCTGGGGGTCAGTAATTGCCCTTGCCGTCACAGTCCACAGCGTTACATAATTCCATTCATGAAATTATCTCAAAGCTATGTTAGGTTGTTCCTGTCTGTCCAAAGACTGTTCCAGAACCTCGGTTCTGAGATGGCTGGAAACCTTCTGAATTCATCACTGGTTTCTCTGTGCCAACATGGTCATTGAGCTTCTGAAGCACGTCTCTTTTCCTTCTGCTTTTAACAAATGGCATCAATTATTATCTGTATTGGTCATGCTTTTTGGCTGATGCTAGTGAAGTTGCATAACGTATTAGCACAGCTCTTTAGCTTTATATACATAAGTAGACTTCACCTTTTATTACATTTTTGCTTTGTCTTTTAATATCACAGTATTTATGTGAGTCCAGGTGCTATTTTGATGTGTGTTCTCATCGTTCAGTCTTAAATCCCTGTTGAAGACCTACCTCTCAATTTGTCATGAACTTGACTTTTAGTAGGTCACTGTGGAATACAGTAATACATTGCCCGTGAAATCCATACTGAACAGCTCTTAATCTAAAATGCTATGATTAAAGCAAGGCAAAGACCTAAATTACTCTTTTTCCTGATGGTATTTGAAACAAACAAACATATATATGAAGTTTCATTAAACTATCCAAAGGTTACATCATAGTTAAGTGTTCATAACACGTATGTCAGAGTACTAGAAAATAGGAACAGCTAATGTAGGTACTGCTGTGATATTCTAGTCACTGCTTCTAATTATGATGGACTTGCATATTTAAGAACACATAAGCGTATTAATTACATACCATTTAAGGTCTGGAATGGAGCAAAAGTGACACGAGCGTTAAATGATCTTCCACTGTTGCCAGTCATATTTCTCCTATGCCACTGGTACGAAGGTGTATGTGTCAGTATACAGCTCTGATGTTCAGCAATAGTATGACACCCAGCATTAACTTGGAATAAATATTAGGCCTTTCTGCTTCACTTATAAATGGTACAAATATTAGTGACAGCTTCTGCACAGTATTCTAAATTACTAGTCCAGTAACTTCAAGGTATCTGATGATGTGAAACCTGCAGAGCTATTGCTGAGTATTCTAATAGTAACTGCAGCGTCAGAAAATAGTTTAACCAACATTTGCTACTGTAACGATTACAGACAAAACTTAAGGCTCTTCTCATTCAAAAGATAACACTGAATTGATGACCAGGACTGAGCACAACGCTTCAGTTAAAAATGTATTAGTGTTACACCTTTAAGTTTATGCAACATCATTTAGTTTATCCCGTATGCGGTTGCATAGCAGTGGACTGTTGTGCTCTTCAGTCTGACCGTAGCGGGCCAGTTCAAGCTATCGTGAGCCAAGCAATGTGTTGGTTACTCTTTCAAATGTGTTTCTTGAATTTATCAGTGCTGAATTTCCTATGAAATCATTCTGCTCATCCCTCTTGATCTGTTAAATCTTCACAATCTTAAGTCTTTTTTAACCCAATTAGTTTGTCTTCTACATGTTTTGCCAAGCTAATGGAACATTCATGTACTGCTGTTTTTAACATTGGGCAACACTAATTCTAATAGGAAAATTTCCCATTAACTTTCTTCCATGTCAAAGTGTCTGTTCCTACTCTGCTTCTCAGACTGTTTCCATCCCATAACAGTATCTCTTTCCTAATCCTCCTTTCAAAGTATTTTGATGTTAATGGATGATGCTAGTACTTGGAATATCCCTTGGAATATCGGAAGGTCACCGAGTTTCTTCCATGACCTGTTGTGAGGGTGTCAAAGGCTTCATGAAAACGTTGCTGGCCACACTTCCGCCTCTGCTGTGTCATGGTTTGTCCGCTCTGATCCAGAAGGATGAATTTCCCCTCTTATCTTACTGTAACAGCCTGGTTGCTAATTTAATGAAACCCTACATTTATAGATGTTGCTATAAATGGCTTCTGCTTTGCACCCGTTCTTCTTGTGGGCAGCCTCTCTGATAATCATGAAGGCACAGAAATCCCCAGCTCTCTTGAGGTTCTCTTACAGTCCAAACTGTTACTCTTTTCAGAGTAACTTAAGTGTTTTGGTCAAACTACAACCCGGATGTGTATCTTGTTCAGCAATACCGAACAAGCTTTGAAGGGTGCTTAACTGTCTTGCCGTTGAAATTTATAAACCACTACCACAAAAAACCTCCTAAGAATGATTTTTCATTCAACTTAGAATTTTTACTTAAATAAATTTGTTAGTTCTGCCAATAAAAACTCATCCAATGTTATTCTGTGCATCTAGTCCAACCCCCCTGCCATGGGCAGGGACATCAGCAACCTGATCTAGATGACCTTTAGAGGTCCCTTCCAACCCAAACTATTCTATGATTCTATTCTGTGATTACAGCCCCCTTATGTAAAGTTTTATAGGAGGTAACACACAGACATCCTGATACAATGTCTTCAAATGGATAAAGTCAAGCATTTATTTCAATTTTTTTTGACTCATTACCAAACAGTAACTCAGATTTGCCCAGTGTGGCTTCTGAGTGACCATACAGAGTTGCTGTTTTTTCTTAAACAAGTCATATTTTGCCGTAAAGGTAGGTGAAGCAACCTGTATTGCATATTGGCGCAGTTCAGCTATTGGTCTGGATTCAGAACTGCCAGTCAGGGTGGCAGAAGTCTTATGCCGGTGGCAGGCAGAAAATACACTTTGTTCCTTAACAAGAGGTGCCTTACGCAATTGTTCTTAAATATCTCAGTAGACTTGAAATATGAGGGAATGACCCACCCAGCGCATTTAGGAGGGGTTCTTCCAAGCTGGTATCTTATCCTAACGGGGAGTGGTTATGTCACTGGCACAGTCTGTGTGGCAGCAGAGGAGCTGCTGGCTGCGAGCAGCAGAGCTGGACATTGCCACCTCTGAACAGGAAGAGAAAATGAAGATTTATGTCATAGGAAATGTAGTCGTCTTTCATCTCAAAAGTGGGGAGAGCCATTCAGAACAGATAAGTAAGGGTTTGGGAGGCAATCAAGCTTTTTAATAAATTTCAAAGTATCAGAAATTCATAAAAACGGAATTGCAGTTGTGGAGCAGCAGGGAATTTCATTATGGAGAGGCGGGCAGTCTGAGTGTCACTGAAATGGATAGAATTGTCGCATCAGGTATAAATTGCCTTCAATGCTTGCAATGGGTAAAGTAAGAGCTTAGCTTCTTCCCCACCACCCTCCGCCCCTCATCCCATGCTGCATCTTGACATTATACCCACTTATGAACAAGGGCATCCTCTGGAAGTTGAGTAATGACTTGAAAAAGCCTGTTAACTCAGGCAGGCACAAACATGTTTAAGTCAAGTTGAAATCAATTCTCTACTCTTGCATCCCCCCCTCTGAAAAGCTGTTGTGCCATTTGCACTTGCCAAGGCCGTAGAAATCGCTCACCTTCCTGCAATTACAGTTGTGTGATTCTCCTTACTGCATGTCTTTATCCTTCTGCCTAAAATCCAAAATGTCATAAATAAATGATCCGGCTTCCTAAATTAGAAATTTATAAAGAGCAACTAATAAATTAACTTTTTTTAGCGTCTTCCTCTGATACAATACATAAGGAGATTTTGGAAAAGACTTCAGAGTATCTTGCATTCACATCCAACAAAAGAACTGTTTTCCTTTTATGGAAATATATTTTATGGAAAAATAATGCTTTTTTTTATTAACATTTTGAATTTATGCGATACGTATTTTATTGACCCACGTGGATCAGGCAGTTAGGCCGAGTCCGTTTACGAACAGAGACCCTTTGCCTCAGACAGCAGAGCTGTTGCCTGGAGTTCAAGGAATCCGAGCGCCCCCCTTGTCAAAAGAAGCAGTTTCATATTATGATCACCCCAGAAGAATAAGTGCTAAATAAATACACTGGTGTTCTCTTTACTGGTGACAGATCCCTGTTGGTATCTTGTGACATGTGCAGATGCTGAACGAGCATATAGCAGACATGAAATGCTGAAGGACACTCTGTGCTATAAAAATAGATGTGCCAACATGATTTGGACCTCCAGCATGTCAACTTTGTTTTGTTTTGCTTGTCCTCTTCTTTTTTATTTATTTCTTAATTTTGTGCACGTAGTGTAAATAGATGGTTTCTTAGCCACTTTTGTGTCACAGCTTCCTTTTCAGCCTTCACCTACCTGTAACAATAGATGAAATCCAGTTGCCAACCTTTTATTGATACCGGTGACTTAGATGCTATTTGGGAGGGCGTTTTTTCAACCTTTGTTCCCAGTTGATTTTCTTCACTTTAGAAGCCTTTCTTGAAAATTGAAATTTCTCTTGGTAGATGCTAATGAGGATTTAAACAATTTTATGAATACCGAACTTTAAAAAAATGCATTTTCCAGTTAGCGGAATAGCGAATGTTGGTTCAGTAAACACTGAAAACTGAGCCATAAATTCTCTGACAGCTTGCTGCTTTGTTTTTGAACAGGAGATGTCATTGAATTCCACGGTCCAGAAGGAACAGGAAAAACAGAAATGCTTTATCACCTAATAGCCCGCTGCATCATTCCAAAATCAGGAGGAGGACTGGAAGTAGAAGTCATGTTCATTGATACAGACTACCATTTTGACATGCTTCGTCTAGTTACCATTCTTGAGCACAGATTGGCGCAAAGGACGGAAGAGGTGATAAAGCAGTGCCTGGGAAGGCTTTTTCTTGTGAACTGCAATAGCAGCGCCCAGTTACTCCTCACTCTCTACTCCTTAGAAAACATGTTTTGCACTCACCCCTCTCTCTGCCTTCTGATTTTAGATAGCATATCAGCTTTTTATTGGATAGACAGAAGCAATGGAGGGGAGAGTCTTAACTTGCAGGAGATGAATCTGAAGAAATGTGCCAACTTTCTTGAAAAGCTTGTGAGAGAGCATCACTTAGCCCTTTTTGCGACAACACAGACACTTATGCAGAAATCGACAAACTCTGCAGAAAGCTTTTTTCCTTTAAAACTTCAACATGAAACTGATACGGACTACAGACCTTATCTTTGTAAATCATGGCAACAAATGGTAACCCACAGGATATTTTTCTCTAAGCAATGTAATTCTGGCAACAGCAAAGGTTTTACGGTCATTTCTTGCCACCTCAAAAGAAACCATGTAGTTAAACGTTCATTTAGTGTTGCAGAATGTGGAGTTCAGTTTTAACTTCAGTTTGTTTTTTAAACGTGTAGCAAATCCTGGTGCTTAAGGCCTGATTAGGTCTAAGGAGTGCTTGGTACCTTTTAAACTAGTTGGTTGTTGCTGGATGATTAAGAATTTTTGTCACCGTTCTCTTAAAATTTAGTGAAGGGCAGGAAATGGTGTAATTTTTGTATTACTATAGATGTTCAGTCCAAACTAGCGAGGAACATTGAAATTCCTTGTTTGTGCTTAATGCATAAAGAGATTAAATCAAGAAAATGATAACCAAAGTCATTTTAAACTCCTAGTATCTCGCAGTAATCTAACCTATGCGATATGTGGCCAAATGCACCGACTTCATTTCTGGGTCTTACTGCTTTCCACTCCTTCTCTTCCAAGCTGCAGAAACAGGGGTCTAGTTGTCCGTGGGGGAGACTGCAAAAAGGTGAGTGTTCGCTCTCTATAAATACTGGTCTTGGTTTATTCCCAGTGGCCCAGGGCACATGAAATGCATTCAGGACTTTGCCTGAAGAAGAGGCTTCATTTTCACAGCCTGTTAAATAGTGGTAATCCCGACCACGCTTCTCCGAGCTCGCAGCCTCTCTGTTTACGTTAGCATGTGCTTGGGGAAGCAAGGATTGCAGGTGTTTTGACCCTTACAAACATCAGGGTTTGCAGAATCTACAGCTATCACAGAAATGGAGGCCTGATTTCCATAACTGAAGGAAAGCTAAAGACCCAGCTCTGGGTACCTGTGAGTTTGTGCTGCGTGCAGCAAACAGTTTAGCCTTTGAAAATAATGAAATGTGGGTTATGGGTTGTTTTGGGTGGGGGGGTTGGTTTTTTGTTGTGTTTTTTTTTTTTTTTTTTTTTTTTTTTTTT